GGCATTCGACAGAGTAGACCACAACCTTCTTCTTGGTAAGCTAAAAAAAAAAGTGGAATAGGCAGCATGACCACCAGATGGATCTGCAGCTGGCTGACAAACCGTAATCAACTAATCGTCCTCAGTGGTACCACATCCACACAGAGGGAAGGGAGCAGTGGGGTCCCACAAGGTTGGAAACTGACCAAAGAGAGAAGCCGTGGGAGGAATTCCCCCGTTCAGGCTCTTCCAGCCGGGATTCTCCCAAGCAGTGCAGAGGAGAACAAATAGACCGTGAAGAGAGGTCTACTGGAAAGAGAGGTTTAATCATGGAGATTAAAGTTGAGTGACAAGGAAGGACCAATGAGAAGTCTCCCGTCTGCAACGTCATCGGTCTCCGGGCAGAGTCTCCTTTGATTTCACCCGACGGAGGAGATAGTTCGGGAAAAAGAGAGAGAAACGGAGAAAGTGGGGGGGGGGTTCCTTTCAGTCTTGGGGGCTGCAGATCAAGGGGGTGTTTCAGACCAGCCCTGGATTTCATTTTGCTCTCCCCCCCCCTTGATCCCACCTAGAAGGGAGGTGGCTGCAGGAGGGGAGGCGCAGCCACGCAGCCAGGGAGGACTTGGGGGTGTCTGAAGCGGCTGATTGAGGAGTCCTTGGGCGCTTCAGACCCACAGAGACGCGTTTCCTGGCCCCTCATTTTAAAAGAGGCCAAATCTCCATCGTGGGTGGGAGTGCCCCACCCTCACGTCTGGGGTCAGTGCCCCCCCCGCCCCTCCTCAAAGCCTCTGCTTGGACCCCCTTCGTTCCTGGAAAAGGGGCTACCGGGCAGGTGGGGTTGCCCCCAGCGCTGTGGGGATTTTTGTCCCATTGAAATAGCAGGTCGGTTTTGGTTCAAGAATGGCTGTTGTGGATCTCAATGGGGGAAATTAGAGGGGGGAGGAAGGGGAAATCCCTTCCTTCCTCCCTCCCTCCCTCCCTCCCTTCCTTCCTTCCTTCCTTTCCCCCCCCCCCCCCCCTCTCTCTCCCGGTGCAGTTTGTGCTCTGACTGGATCTGGATCGATTCCTCGTTTCATGCTCCGTCGTGGGAACCGGCCGGGAAAAGGCCTCCCTGGCGCAGAGCGGCCCTTTCCTGCTCCGTCCCTCGCTCGGGGGGGGGGAGGAGGAGGGAAACCCTCCGTATCCCAGGGGGAAATTTTTCCCAGGAGGGGGGAGGCAAGAAATGGTGACCCCTCCCTTGGAAAGATGTCCCTCCGGGAGAGCAGCCTCAAGGGGGGCGAGAGCCGGGGGGGCTCCACTGCAGGGGAGGCGGGGATGTCGATGGTGTCCAGGCAGCTGTCTCGGGGGGGGGGGGGAGCTTCAATCGGGATCCCTGCCTGGAGGGAGGGGAGAACTGGGACCCCACAGCGGCCAGAGAGAATTCTTAGGACACTCAGATATGAAAAACTAGATGTCATGTGTCTGATTAACGAAACACTTAAAAGGACTTTCAGGCATTTTTACTCCTAAAAGCATTTATTAATGTTAAAGATACGTCAGTACAACATGGAGGAAATGCTTAGGACTGGCTTCTTTTCCGCTATGCATGTAATTCTAAGCATTTCCCTCCCACCTTTTTTGGGGGTCATGGTTCACATCTTCCAATCAACTTGGAAGATGTGATTTACTTCCGGTTTCTTTTCCTCTTCTGCCTGGTTTAACTATAAAAATGCCAGACAGCTCTGCATATTGTCAAAGCAAGAATATACAGTATTTGCAGCGTTGACACTAGATTTTTCTCCCAAGAAAATCCCACCTCAGCTGCCTCCCCACGACCCCC